AGTCTGGTAGCCATCCTGGGGGGAGAGGAAGGGACTTAGACAATTGAGTTCCACTGCAACTGATTTCCCCTTTGTCATCTTGCCCTACAGAAACATTCTTAGAAAATCCGTGACCAAATAATCCTATCTTTCTCACTGATTTCCATTAAATTTCTAGAAAAGCATTTCCATAGGGAAAAAAAAATGTGGGCTTCCCAAGGTATGGAAATAACATCCACTTCCAGAATGTCTTGTGTAGTTTATGCCCCACAGCCTTTCCTCTTCCATAGTCCTTGCCTCCAGTGGAGCTATTCAATCTGCCAATCAATCCACACAGCTTGTGCCTTTCATAGGTGTGCACATAACACACCATACCATTCACTAGCACCTTCAACTGACTCTGGAATGGCCATACAGCCATTCTCAAAGGTCCTGATTCCAGGAATGCAGTAACAGCCACTGGCTGGGAGAGCCACATGAAGACCAATGCATCCTCACCACGTGACATTCATTGATGGAGCACTCAATTCCACACGGAGGAGGAAGGACCTGACCCTTGGCAGAACATATCTGAGACTTTCACATCTCCCATCAGCCCAATCGCCCATTCGAATGGATCCTCAGTCAATCTCACCATGAGCAAGCCTTAGGATTGGCTAGCATCACAATCCCCACCAGAACACAAACATTCCCCTCTTCTCTTCTGTGGAGCCATTCTGGACTGTGCATTTTACCAGAATACCAAAGTTAAAAGCCCCAAAACACCATAGCAGCAGAGTTATAAATGGGGTCTTGGTGACCCTGTTGGAGAGATGTGTTGCCCGAGTACCCAGCTACACGATCCCAAGGCCGCCTGGTGCCTTGAGAAATCCTGACCTGGAGCCTTGACTACCTTCCACCGACTGACCACAGTCTGGTAGCCAGTGCTGGAGGGAGAGGAGTACAATGGGATGTCCCTCACCACAGTGCACTTGCACTTGACTGGCCATGTTTTTTTAAGTGATGGCTACGACTTGGGCACTGGAAATCTGGGGCTTCGACAAGATTTGACTTTGATGCCCCAGGAACTGGAAAAGGCACATGTAGGTATGGACCTAGATCATTTCTCGGTGTTATCGACGACAAATGGAAATATAAGCACAACGTGTGGTGGATATAAAGGGTGGGAAGGCGAGGAAACAGATTATTTTCCAAAAATTACAGTACACATCACATTGTACTACAAACCAGACATAGCCAAGGTCCACTGCTGTTGTAGGGACTTATTATAACATTAGTAAAAAGGGCATGTGGGCAGTTAGTTCGGGTGGCAGTCCTCCAGAGGGGCAGATGAACCTTGCTGCCTCCTCCTCCTCCTCCTCTTTGGCAGATGCTGGAGGGAAGAGGGCACCAGGGATTAAAATGATCCCCTTGGGAAAAGAAGGCCATAGGGCATTGCTTTATATTTTTATTTGAGCATTTCTGCAGTTAGTAGAAACCATAAAATTACTTTGGTTAAAGTAAGCTGGAAATGTTTCTAACTATACCTATGAAAAAAAAGTTTAGCTTTTTCTTCCTAGGAATAAAAACTGCCTTCCTTATTAGAGTCCAGCACAAACCATTATTCACAACTGCCTGAGAGAAGCAGGGTTAATCTAGGCCATATGTACTAAATGTCTATGAATCCTGGTTAGCTTACTCATATCTCTATGTGGGAGCTGAGGCCACTGAGATGGGCCTCAAAATCTAAAGAGGAGGAATATTTCCCGATGTCTTACCGCTGCACACATTCCTTCACCACTTCATACTGGCCGATGGAAGCAGCTGTATGGAGATCCAAGGGGATGGCCAGCTGCTCCCAGCTGACCTGGGCACCTGGCCCATGCCACATAGACAAGCTGCGGGTCAGGAGTTCTGGCTCACTGGCTTCGTCGCTGAGCTCCGACATCGCTGTGGAGGGAGGTCCAGGGGTTATGTCCTTTCTTTCCTGGTGGTTCCAGGGAATGAAAACAAGATGGTCACACTCATACCTGCAGTAGGTGGTTATGTCACAACCTGGGACTGATTTAGACAACTTCCTTCCATTAAATATTGTATGATTTTGTCCAGCCAGCGTGGCTCAGTAGTTAAGCCTCAACCCATAAACTGGGAGGTCACTGGTTCGATTCCCTGTCAGGACACATGCCCAGGTTGCAAGCCCGATCCTGAGGAGGGGGCGTGCAGGAGGCAGCAGATTGATGTTTCTCTCTCATCCATGCTTCTCTCTGAAATCAATAAAAACATCTTCTTTTTTTTTTAAGTGTATGATTTTGTGAGCTTGTCACCAGACAGAAAAAGAAGAGCACACATGGTGAATCATACACTGCAGGGTATATTTTCCTTCATTATCCTCAGGCCCCACATTCTAGAAAGGGTATTTTCCAGGAATTCAAGACGCCAGAAAACTTCCTGGGTGGTAAATAAAGAAATGCTAATTGGGTCAGTGGACCAAATCAGCTCTTGGGTGTGGGGGAAAGAACCCTGCACTTAGATCAAGATTTAGCTCTGTTGCCCTGGCCAGGTGGCTGTTGTTTGGAGCAGCATCCCTTATACCAAAAGGTTGTAGGTTTGATTCCAGTCAGGGCACATACCTAGGTTGCAGGTTCGATCCCAGGTGGGGGCACAAACTGGAGGCAACCAATGGATGGTTCTTGCTCACATCAATGTTTTTCTCTCTCTGTCTCTCTTCCTCTCCCTAAAACAAACAAACAAAAACAATAGGAACATAACCTCTGGTGAGGATTAAAAAAGTTAGCTCTGCTATTTGGCATCTCCCATTCCGTTCTTCACTGTCTAATGGATACATAATAACTCAAAGGGCTGCTATTAAAGACACATGGAAGACAGAGTAAGCGAACAGTGGCACATTCATAGGATGGAATGCTCCGCAGCATTAAACAGAAAGAACAACAGTTGATACACACAACATACCACACAACCCAGGAACCAATCTCAAACATATTGGGCTAAAAGCCAGACTCAAAGGCTACCTACTGTATGATTCCATTTATATGACTTCCTAGAAGAAATAAAACTAAATAGCTGGAGAACAGACTAGTAGTACCAAGGGTTGGGGGTGTGGGGTGCACAAAGATATAGCAAGAGGGAATTTGAGGGTGATGGACCTGTTCTGCATCTTAATTGGTGGATGTGTAACTCTATGTATTTATCAAAACTCATAGACCTGGAACCAAGTGAATGAATTTTACTGTATATAAATCATTTTAAACAAATAAAATTCGGAAAAATTGAGAGCCCCTACCACAGGAACTAGGATCTGATTGGTGTTCAGCAAATGTCAAGTAACTACGAATCTTCCTCTTCATCCCTTGAAAGTGGGAGAGAGGGGACAATACTAGGAAGACTCTGTGATTACGAGAGCCTTTTATTCTGGGAATCCTACCCAAAGCAAGGCCAAGTCATTAGCTTCTTAGTAAAACCCTCAGGTCCAGGAGTGACATTTGTCTCCTATTCTTCTCTGGGTGAAAGAGAGAAAACAAAGAAGGGCAAAGTCCAATTCAGAAGGCCTAACGGTACCACCGATGCCACACGGACCTCACTTTCTACTAAAGAATGCTTCCAAGCCCCAGGAGACAGCCAAGATGGCCAAGACAACAAACAAGCTGCCAGTTTGGGAGACAAAAGATGTGTAGGCCTTTTGCAAGAGTATGTGTACATGTGATGGGGCCCGCAGGCAACAAAATACAGAGCAAAACCCTGCCTCCTGGAACCCCCACCTTGCACAGCTGGCAGGGCTGAGTCCAAGCAGCTCTCACTTTGCAGGTGTGAACCTTCAACCGGAGCAGTCCTGACCCACAGAGCCTGGATTAAAAGCCAAAAAAGCTGAGTGTCAGGGCAGAGCTCCTTTCAAACACCCCTCAAGCCTTCTGTGGGTGTGTCTCTCCTGCCCGAAATGCCTCCTCTTGGGTGGGGCCCATGTTCTCTCTCCTCTGATTGGATGCTCACATGCCCGACGGAGTGCTGAGGGCTAATCAGAACCAGGCCCCTACTCAAGAAGCTTACGGAGAACTTGGATGCGAAGGGGCCATAAAGCTAATATTACTTCCTTTTCACCCTGTCACTGCCAAACGCAGCATGGTTATATTTAATACTTTTAGAAAAGGTCTTTTGCATATCGCTTCCAGAACTTATCTCCAGGAAGTAGTGCTAGGGATGCGAACTTTTCTCACTCTACCTTTTGGTTCTGTGCATTTTGTAAAATAGTAAGTACCATTATTTTAAAAATAAGCAAAATGTTAACTTAAAAAAAAAGGTGCCGGTGGTCGACCGTCACGCCCACAGGGAAGAGATCCATATGAACCCCAGGGCACGCCCTGCGGTGCCAGCTCGCTGGCCTCCGGCCGGGCCGGGGCATCCCAATCTCCTTCTCCGGCTCTCGGGAGGGTCCCTAGGGAAGAGCCGGAGCAC